AAAAAAAAAACTAAATCGAGAAAGGAAAGCTGAAAAATCATATTTTGAAACAAGAGGTTGATAATTGATATTATTGAAAAATTGTGGCACTGCCGCCGTTGCTTTTCTTTGACCTTCGCGGATATTTTTCTACGCCTGGAAATCTGAATTCGCCATATCACCCTCTAACTTCGGCGTAAACTGCCCAGAAGCCCATCTTCAGCTAAGCGTTTGGCGCACCTCTTAACCTCTTCAACCATTGCGATGGCATTCTCTGCAAAGTTACACCCGATTTCGCCACCATCCCTTGTTTTTTCCTGCAAATCCCGCAGACCCTTTTTTCAGCAAAATTCTTATTTTCTAAAACCCCTTACAATTAGAGCTTCAACAACTCTAGATTTCTCCAAATCCTCTTCAGATGCGACATCCTCGATCCCATTAAAGGTACATGATGATGACACCCAGCTTACCATGTATCGGTTTTGAATGGGTTTTATGCTTGAAATGTATATCAGAGTTTTGAAATGATTTCCTTTTTTCCCTTCTTGTCTATCTAACACTCTTTTTGGGAGTATTTTTGGAATAGAATTCGTACTGATAATAGAACCCATGTCGCTAGCTCTGTTAAAATGTGTAATCGAGTTCAGTTGTGTGGTATATGTTGATCAATTCTAGAGGACCCTGTTGCTGATGGAATTTAATTTATTTCGATACGTTTGTTTCCATTTCCTCTTATTACTAATTGTTCGAAAGTATGGATTTAGTACGCTTCTTGAGTTGGTCCCCTGGTCTTATTCTTATACAATACTTCATTCTAGCTCAGGCTAGTAACTGGCAGTGGAAATTCAAAGACAATCTTATAAACATCTATTATGAGGAGTACGAGAGCCAGAGTGCTGAGCCACCTAAAGATATTCTCATGATACCGACGATTTCTGACGTTAGCACTGTGGAGGAATGGAGAATAGTGGCGAGGGAACTTGTACAAAGGGATGGAAATGTCAATTGGCGTGCTACTATCATTGATTGGCCCGGTCTTGGTTTCTCTGATAGGCCAAAGATGGATTACAATGCCGATGTTATGGAGAAGTTCTTAGTGGACTTGATCAATGCTCCTGATGGTCCAGTAAGCAGCTCAAGTTAGTATGGCAGCCACATTTATATTGTTGAACTTTTATGATTATAAAATTGGGATGTTTATTTCACACAGTCTTAGTGAATGCTACTTTATTTCTTACTTCTCACCATTCGTTCTTTTGGCTAACTTTGTCCAAAGTGTAGGCTATGTAGTGGTTATAAGTTTAAGATGTAGCACAAAATAGAAATATGCAATTCACTTCTGTAAGCTAAAGCTTGATTGCTCGTGATGTAATTATGGTAACTTTGTGCTCTCTCTCTTCAAATATTTGAAGAGCCTTCTTATCTAATCGTTACCAACTGTTTAGATTTAACTGGCTTAACAGTTAGCTAAAGGCCAAGAGGCATTACAAAAGATATTAAAGGACAAAGTACCGTGCTGGTTCATTTGGAAGACTGTTACGCAAAATCTGTAAGGTGTTCTAGATGCAGTGTGTATAGCGTCATTCAGTGTTTATGTTAGAGAGAGCCTACACTCACTTACTCATTTGCTGGCCTTTTTATGTTTGCTAGCCATATGCTTCCGCTTAAGTTGTAGCTTTTGTTCACATTGCTGCTTATTTTTATTTTAACTTGTATTCTACTTCCATATTTTGTTGATCTTCGAGCATATCACCTTCTTGTCTGTTCTTGTGGTAATTCCCCACCTTTCACAATCTGCCTGTGCCTGGCCTCTTACATACATCTTACGTACATCCTCTCATAGTGGTTTGTCGTTAGTTTATTTGAATGCTGAAAATTGCAAATCAATCGTGTTCTTCCATTCTCTGGCTTACATTTTTTCACTTTGAACATGATTTTTTATGACTTCTTAATTTTTGCAACTATTGGCTAACGATCTTGTTAATATCAAAACAGAAGGTGACTTGGTGGTATTTGGAGGTGGGCATGCAGCTGCCATAACAATTCGTGCTACGAATAGGGGTTTGGTGAAGGCAAGGGGCATTGCCGCAGTTGCACCCACATGGGCTGGGCCACTTCCTATTGTATTTGGTCGAGATTCCAACATGGAGACGAGGTACTGGACCTAATACTCCATTAATTGTATGCAAGGTGCTGCATTTTGAATGCTCTCTAGAACTGGGAAATTGAGGTAGTGCCACGATCAATTCTGTGAAATATTTTAGTCTATAAGCTATCACCATCTTTATCCTAGCTGGCCTATGTGTAAAGAGGGTTTGTGCATAATACATGGGAAACTTAACCTTATGTAGTAATCACTTGTGTTCTGACAACTGAATCCATTCTACCTTGTATGCTCTATTGTCGAAGCTCGTAGAAATGTTTAAAGGACTCAGTTTAACCTCAGAAAGCATTGAACCTGATTGGCACAGGATGACTTTACAGACTCGGTTGATCAAAACGAAAGATGAAGGAAACCGAACAAAAGACTCCCACAAAGCAAGAAAAGTAAATGCCAGTTTTAGCAAAGTCTCTAGATTCACCACAGCCATAACAGTTTCCACCGCCACTGCTGCTGCCACGCCTATCTCCACCACCTTGACATCACCATGGCCGTATGCCCTGTCTCACCACCATTGACTCTTCCATAATTGCTGCTGTTGCCTAGCCACTGATACCACCATATTAAATCCTCATCTCTCTCTTCCGCCTCTGTATTCATTCTCCTTCTCTGTGACTCCTACCCCTGCTTCCTTGATTGCCCTGACTCACCATGAGCAGTGAGGTCAACAGCCTTGGAACGGTCATCAGATTCCATATTGATCACAAACTCTTCTTTCTTTCTAATATCGAGACTTCAGAACCCCCTCGGTATGGGGGACAGGTGAAGAAAGATTCTTGCCTCCTTGGCTCAAAAAAATGAAGCCATACCCCTTCTGGTCACTGAACCACTTGACATTCCCCTCCCTCTTTCACCCACCCTCTATCTCTTGCCACTCAACAATCGCAAAGCCCTAATACCCCCTCCCTCGCCCCATGCTCATTCTCTTAAGGATTTTTATTCTTTTTTTGCTTTGACTTACTTTCTTGTGCAAGTTTTAAGATGTTTCATGGTTTAATGAAATGCCTTTAAGATGTTTTTCACACTTATCTGGTTGTGGAGATGTATGTCTTTATGAGGGCATGCTGTTGATTATGGCTTATGGCAATTACGTTAAACCTAATCTAAATGTGTCACTTCCTGATCACCCAGGTACGGATTTCTTAGAGGCACATTAAGGGCACCTGCTGTTGGCTGGATGATGTATAATTTACTTGTCAGCAATGAAAATGCAATTCAATCACAGTATAAGTCTCATGTCTATGCCAACCCAGACAATGTTACTCCAGAAATCATAGAAAGCAGATATGCACTGACGAAAAGAGACGGTGCCCGTTATGTGCCTGCAGCTTTCTTGACCGGTCTTCTTGATCCGGTTAGATCCCGGGAAGAGTTTGTCGAACTGTTTGCAGGGTTGGATGGAAAGATACCGGTTTTGGTCGTATCAACAGAGAAATCTCCAAAGAGGTCAAAGGCAGAAATGGAAGCTCTACGAGATGCCAAAGGGGTGAGCAAGTTTGTGRAGGTGCCAGGAGCCCTTCTGCCACAAGAAGAGTACCCAACAGTAGTTGCAGAGGAGCTTTATCAGTTCTTGAAGGAGAATTTTGAGGGTACAAGTTGAAACACATTTGTAAGTTGAACCTCAAATTTTCGAAAAATATCGGTATAGCGAAAGAATATTATTTTCCATAGACTGAAGCACTTCTCTTATTCTTCTGCTGTTTTGTGCATTGGCCTCATTAAAATAAATGTAGAATACAGGACATCTGTGTCATTGCTTGTGTTATCAATATACTTTGGTCTTCTCGAGATTTAGTTTATAGTAAAAATGTGTACCTCTTTCTAACTAGCTATAAGTTCATGCATTTAGAAATATACTCTATGATTTCGTACCAAAAAATGACTATTATTTATTAATATYGAAACAAATGGAAGTAGATGGAGAAATAAAAAGAAGAACCTCATATTAGCTAAATTAGTGTGAGATGAGAACGGCCAGTTCTCTTTCCCCAAATGTCTACAAATACATTAAAGCCATCACCTAATATTCATTTATTTATTATTATTTTTCTTTGAAGTTCAACATGGGGATCACCCTCTATATATATATATATATTAAGGGCTATGATTTGACATAATTTTGATAAATTGAAAATATCACTAAATAGCAAAAGATATGGCGACATTAACTCTACGGGTCATGATATTATTTGTGGAAAATTCAAATCTTCCATTTTTTTGAACTTGAAGAGAGAAAAAAATCTAAAAAATAAAAAAGAACAAAATTGTTTCTTTACGAATGTGACTTCTAAACACTGAGCAATAGAACAACAATACAGATTTGCCATGATATCAACTCTGTATATCAAATCAATCTATCTATAAAAAAAAAGTTAATTCCTATTTATTTATTTTTTTTCAATTATGATAGTAAGGTGATGTTGATGGCTGATATGTAGCTAATGTTCATCAATCATTTGGGAGGTTGCAAACCATATCATTTCTTCTTCTTCCTTTTTTTTAATTATTAAATTGTAAATTAAAAATAATAATAAAGATAAGTTAATGCAACAACTCGTATATGTTAAAATACTTTACCGACACATGGACTCCTCAATYGTGAATTATATATTTCTTTGTCAATATATCTTCGACCAGTAGGTTAGATGTTTGAATCTYCATCTTCACATATTATTAATTCAATATATATACCTACATATCTTTTTTTTCATTGTTTTCTTTTACGTACAGCATCATRGTTAAAAAGTATAAATTTTATATTATTGAAATTCAAACAAATCTTGTTCTACAGAAAAAAATCAAACAGATTCAAATGAATTTAAAATCCCAACTAAACTTAAAATTTTGGATTGAGCTGAATTGAATATTTCAAGTTGAATCAATAATTTAAACGTACCATCAACCGATGATTTTACTTCGTCCCTTTTATATTTGGCCGAAGTTAATTTTAATTTTTCATATAAGATTAAATCTCCATACTCTATAAGGAGGTATTAGATTTAGGTATTTAATTCTTTTGATTTACATCTCTTTTAKTTTTCACCTAATTTAATCAGCTCGTCTTTAGCTATTACCCTACGTACCTTTTGCTGCCCAATTTATTTTGATGTAGCACTTTTAACTCATAGGCWTTTTTGTCAAAACATGTCRACACGATACTCTTAGGGATGAAATCATACTTAATGTGGAACCACAAAAACGATGTGAGTTTGAGGATTAGTRTCGGAACACCCGCGACCTGACTTGATCCGATCAGGAATACCCAACTGCCTGATCAGACAATACTCGACTAGGGGAGATCCAAATAKGGTTAAACCATTAAGATAGGTAAATCAAACTACTCAAATTAAACCAGTTGGACTAAATCATGCCAGTCCACCTGAACTAACTTAATTAGGATACTCTTTTTATAAATAAGAGGAGATACCTTAGGCATGAGGTACGCTCAGAACATTACTTTTGCTATTTTCTACAAAACTTTTCGCTAGCTTAAGTTTTGAAGTGGGTGGCTTATRTGCCGAAGCTATTGAGGTAGGATACATATCCATTTGCTGTATCTTACTATTGTTATTTTTATATTATTATTATATATACTCGTTAGTTAAGTTAGAGGGAATTGATTAGCCATTAAATCTACGCTAATTAATTGGAGAAAAAAAATGTTATCTTGATATACATGTTATCTTTACTTATTTATTTTTATTTTACTAWTATGAGATTATGTTTGCATTATAATATTACGTTATAAACTTAAATGTTGGTCTTATAATATCATTTGGTATTTGATGTTTTAAATTTTGTAGTAAATATCCAAATAGAAGAGTGATACAACAAGAAATGTTGAAAAATCTGAAGTCTTAATCCAAATGAAAGCAAAACCATCAACCATGTGATCCACAACTCAAAGACGTCTTCCAAACATCACCATCAAACCATATTCAATTGGGTGTCGACACGAAGGGCCCCACCAACTACCAAAACTCCACGTGTCGAAATCTGAAGGAAACTCATTTCATCTCAATTCTTATGACGTCTAAAAGGCAAAAAATAAAAAAAGAAATCTTTAGGAATTATCAGTCTGAACCAATCAGAATTCAAGATTTAACGCCAACTCCATGATCCTGACACCTCATCACTGCCTTACTTATGGGCTTCTGTGGGCTCCAATTTCCACCTAACC